ACAAATATATGTGGCAGAGCATATATTGTTTACACTGATTACTGATGTAAAATAAGCTACATAAATGTAGGCCAACTATAAAATAAGGATCCATCCATTTGTTCCACTAAATACCATACTTCCTAAGAAAGAGGAATCCTGGCTTCACCCTCTCAAAAAAAAACTCATTTTCAAAAGGAGGATGTACCCTGCCAAAAGCAGGAAGAAGAGCCAACAGCCACTGTGACTCACTTCTCTTTCTAATTAGAGGAATGCACACCATTAAAAATGAACTTGTAGAGTTCACAGCTTTCCACACACCAACCACTGCAAGTGGGAATATATATATATATATATATATGCACATAACAGAAGTGATGGGGAAAACCTGCTCCCAAGCCAGTATTTGCTAGCACTGAATATTCAAAATGTCATCTGAAGCACCTCTATTCCTCATTGGTTCATTCTTTGTCTCAGTGGAATATTCACACAATTATGTACTATAACCATAGAATGATACGGGTTGAAAAGGACCTTAAAGCTCATCCAGTTCCAATCCCACTGCCATGCGAAGTGACACCTTCCACTAGACCAAGTTGTTCCAAGCCCCATCCAAACTGGCCTTGAACACTGCCAGAGATGGGGCAGCCACAGCTTTACTGGGCAATCTGTTCCAGTGTCTCCCACCCTCATAGTAAAGAATTTTTTCCTTGTAACTGACATAAATCTACCCTCTTTCAGTTTAAAGCCATTACCCTTTGTTCTTTCCCTACATGCCCCTGTAAAAAGTCCCTCACCAGCTTCCTTGTAGCCCCCTGTAGTCCCCTTTAGGTACTGGAAGGCTACTCTAAGGTCTCCCCTGAACTTTCTCTTCTCCAGGCTGAACAACCCCAACTCTCTCAGCCTGTTTTCAGAGATGGGCTCAAGCCCACTGATAACTTTCGTCTGGTGATCCTCTGGACTCACTCCAACAGGTCCATGTCCTTATTGCATTGGGGGTCCCGGAGCTGGATGCAGGACTGCAGGTGGGGCCTGACGAGAGCACAGCTTCAGAAGGGGAGAATCACCTGCTGGTCACTCTTCTTTTGATGCAGCCAGGCATATGGTTGGCTTTCTGGGCTGCAAGCCCACACAGCCAGCTCATGTTGAGCTTCTCATCAACCAACACCCCCAAGTCTTTCTTCTCAGGACTTCTCTCAATACATTCTCTATCCAGCCTGCTTGGGATTGCCACAACCCACACTGGGGCACTTAGAACTATAATGAACAAGTCCCACCCTGAGGCTGGGGCTGGAAGTGTTTTCCAATTTTATAAGCAAATACTAAGCAGATTGGGATTCTTTCAACCACACATCTATGTAATGAAAATTATTTCAAATGCTGCAATAGAAGAGTCATATTCAACTAATTATAGCTCAGAACATTTTGCTACTGCATCTACTGGGAAAGAAATTCCAGTCCTCAAAGTAAGTTCCTCAATTTTTATAGCCTTCAGCAAAATACATTTCTTACCTTTACTCGCACAATCTTTACTATTTAGCCATTTATAAAAGTTAGTTTTTGAGCAAATCTCTAATCTTCTGACTGGTAGGATTGTAGATGTAATGTGTTTCCTCAAGGGATTTTTCTACTTACAGAATCAGTCTGCAGTCTTCTCACTGTCTAAATTATAGCCTGTGATTCAATGTCACCCATTTCCACATCTTCAAAAACATGAATGGAGGGAAATCCCAGTTCTGCAGGTGGCTCCCCGTGGCTCTTTGCCATCAGAAGAGCTTATGAGAGTGAGTTACACTCTTCAGAAACCTCCATATTTTTTGTAGCTAAATTAGATGTTGTTTTGTCACTACTGCCTGAAAATAGCCAGAGACTGGGAGATGGCTGGGTGTCTGTGAATACTGCTTACAGAGTTGGGTCATAAGAGACATATCTGCAACCCAGATAAAAGCTGGCAAGACTGGCTCATCACAGTTGCATCAGGTAGTGCATGCCACAAGTTTTAATGAATAAGATAGTGGAAGGAGAAGACATCCACAGTACACACATCTTCCCTTCCCCTTCACCAGCAAATACATGACTTGTTGTAAGAATATGGACAACACAAGCTGCCTGGTAACTGAAAGCAAGGAAAAGATCCATGGCAGACCTGCAGAGAGGGACTGCAGAAGGCAGAGCATCCACGGAACTGTGTGAGGTCATTGCTTTCAGCATGCCCTTGGCTCTACCCAGCTGTAAGTCCCATCCTACTGTTAGGTGACACCATAGCATTACAGCCAAGCACTGAGCCTCAGCGTTTTTCAGTACAGCACAAAGAGCCTGAAAACAAGCCTTCCTCACAGTGCATCCCCATGACACTCCTCGCATAATGGCGAGATGGGTTGATCAACTAAAGGCAGGCATGACTTGCAGGTAAGTCCATCCCTTTAATTTGTCAGATGCTCCAGTAACTAAGCAATAAAATATCACAGAGCTAAGTCTAGCACTCAAATACCAGTGATTTACAGTCCAGCTTTTACCATGCTTAAGAACCTCACAAGTTTCTTCCCCTAGGAGGAAGGCCCACTGCTGTGGAGAAGGCATGGTAGAACATACAGCAATGAAGGCTGTAAACTGCAGTAAATTTTAGTTCACATTAACACATGCTGTGAATCCCAGTAAATAGGAGTATAAGAAAGGCAAACTCTTCCACTGTCCCTACACTGAAAATGGCCTTATCCAGTACTGATATGAGGCCAGCACCTGGGGATGATGATTTATTTTTTCAGCCATCTCAAGGTCAAAGCCCAGGGTGTGCAACACAGCATTTACACAAAGTCATGCTAATGAAATCAGGCTGATGAATTCATTTTTACTTGATAAAATGCTGCCAAGTATAGCTTTAATAATAATTTTTAGAAATTATTAAAGTCTTTTGATTAAAGCTGTTATATATAGATGAGAAAGCTAAAATATTTATTCTACAGTTAAATGAAAAAATTCTCTCTTACAACAAACACAAAGACCCAGCGCACCAGTTGCCTGGTGTCTGGCATTCCTTGTGAACATTTCCCAGCACTACCAATGTCAGTGCTGGGCAGGACAGCTATAAGTGTGTTCAAATATTTAAAATCAGAAGAAGCATTTTTCTTGACTGAAATTTGTTAACAGATGGTTTTGTTTTGGCATGAGTGTTTAAAAGCAAGGATCCTGGACCTTGTCAGTATATGAGCACAACAGGGAAAGGAACAGAAGTGTGAAGATTTTGCCTAATTAAAATGTGCATTGGTTTGACTTGCACTCTTAACACTCAATCTGAAGTTCCAGATAAGTATTCATCAATGCACTTACCACAGGTCTGGTAACGTTATCCTGAAACTTAGATGCCCAATTCTCCTTGGATGTCCAGATAGGTCATCCACACTAACGAAAAAGACTCATCCATATAGAAAAGCTCAAAGAATGCTCTGAATAACTCTTTCTTCTATAAAAAAGCTGCATTTCTCAGTATACATTTTTCAAAGTCTTCTAGCTGCCTGGGCAACTAAATCCTACATTTCATTGTAAACTAAAAGGGAAGTGTAACCAATTTGATTTATAACATAAATACCAGGGAATATTCCATCGGATCAAAAAAGGGACTAGCTCAGAATGGAGGAAATCAAGATTCTTCCTCCAGTATAACTAGCTCTGTTACTAAGGGAAAGAATATAATGAGGTCTTCCTAGAAAACATCAAACACTACCCAGCACCACAACAGTGAAAAGGACAAAATCAAGTATAAGTTTAAAAAGTTAAAAGTTTTAGGGGAATGTAAGTCTTCAAACTCAGAGCCTTAAGCAATGTTTGTTGTGATGTAAAAGCTGCATAATACCGGCTCCCCAAGCTTCTTTCGGAGGTACCTGACTACAGCACTGAACTGGGGTCTGACCCCGTCTGACAGTTTGTGTATCTGTTTACACATAATAAAGTAGAATTAAAACTACAAGAAAACTCAAACAACAGAGACATATTGCTGGTGATCCACATTGCAGGGACAGTTTTGAAAATATAAGCTGTTCTGGTTTTTAGACAGAGAGACAGGATAGATCTACTAGATGTATTTTATTTTTTTTTTCCATATTATAATTAAATCCCATATCATGGAAAACAGAAAAAAACCACTTTCAGTTTCCCCCACGAGTTTTCTGTAGCAGCCATTATTAATGCCTTTGTTAAGCAGAACTCGGGTAGAACCAAGAAAACAGGAGCTAACCTGCTTCTCCTTTGTGGCTCTGATCTGGGTGTCCAAAGAAGGATTTGTTGCAGTCATTGGCTTGCCACCTGCCTGAGGCATTTGACTGTATCTAGCACAACGATGTGGAAAGCATTCATGAGTAAATACACAATAACATTCATATGTTTACAGCTTCTGTGAAAGGTGTGGGTAGGGCGATTTCTCTACTGTGTTTCCAGAGCAAGTCAAACCCATTAATTAAATTAACGCTCTTGTCCTGCATCTAAAGGAAAACCAGAGCCTGCTTTATGGGCACTGACAGCTGCAGGAACCATGAGCTGGTTTTGTTCACTCCCTCCCCTTATTTGTTTTTGAAGCATCTGGGTAGGTTGATTTCTCAGATTCTGATCATATGAAAAGCTGCATGTCTTCAATTTCTATGAAGAAAGTAAAGGAAGCTGCTCCATGCAGAGTGCGATATGGCAGAATGTCATGGTTTCTCAGTGCTGGCTGAATAGTGACTACAGGAATTTCGTACCTGAACATCTCTGTGCCCAAGAAACTTGCAGGATGAAGCTGTAAAAGGTTCTGCTCATAAGACATTTCTTATCTAGTGATTATTTTACTTGTCCTGACAACAAAAACTTTAGCATGAGAAAGCAGTACCTGAGGAACAGTGTAATCTACTGCAACAAAGAAATTTTTTTTAACAGGCTCAGAGAAATTGCCACAGATACCTTCTTCTAAAGGGAATATAAATGTGTCCGTATTGCCATAGACATAGTGATATATGCAAATAGCAATACACCAGCATGTTCTTTTCTTCTAGGTTCTTCAAACAGGAGACAGATTGCTGTCATTTTGGGCTGAAATCTGGAGGTAAGCAATCAGAACACATTCAACACCCAAGCTAAGAACAGGAAACTTATACAGAAGTGGAAAATTTTGGATGCTGAACTTTCACCCTCGGCTTCTGGGAGACTTTTACTAATAAAGAACTATAAAAACATAGACAGAGTATATTGACACTGTATCACCTGCCCAGCAGAGCCATATGCTGCTGCTACAGACACTGCCAATAAAGATCAAAGCTTCCCTTGCATTAATGAGCTAAACATGGGTGGTTTATGTTTCATACCATGCTGTAGATATATATTGACCTCTATGAAGTGTAAGAGCTGTTAAACAGTGCTCACTCAAATGTTAACTGGTGCATGGTGTCCCAGTCACCTGCTTATGTTCTTCATGTTGTTAGTGACAAGTTTCATATTTACATGGAGCATAATGACAGAATTCAAGAATTAGGGTACTGATAAATACAGAAAAAGTCACGGAAAAACTTGCTGTATTCAAGAGATTGATAGAATAACTAACCTCAACACGATTATATTTCCTAGGTACTCTTCATAAAGAAAGCTGACCATTTTTTTTTCTCCTCAACTTCCCCAGTAAAGCAGAACAGCTATAGTTACCTACATCTTCATTTCTGCTCATCCCTATAGATCCTAGAGGAGAAGTGTGTAGTTTTACAGTTGACAGATTATTTCTTCACTCCAAGCATTCAGAGAAACAATTTATGATTTTCAAAATCAGCTTTGATTTCACAAAACTTCTCCCTCTCATGACCTTGCAACAGAATCTTAAGGGCTTTGATTCTACTCTTAGCAAGATCAATCAATTTTTAACTCAACATGCAGCAGGCCTACATTTTATACAGTATCCCTCATACAAAATGTATCTCAGCTTGCCTTGTGCAAAGAGCACATTAATACACCCATATGTAAACAATTACAGTGAAACACATGGGCAGAAACACAAAGAATGCATGGAAATCAGAGGCTTATTCCACTGAAATTTGAATTGAGATGAAGAATTAAACTGATCAAAAAAGCCCCCCAGAAAAATAGTCAACAGAGTTTGCAGCAGAGAAAGTATTTGTACAATACCACAAAAGCACACATAGGGCATAGCCAAGGCTTTAGGGAAGGGAAGGAAACTGTGAGGGGAATGCAAACCTCAGGACATAAATTAAAACCACTGTTGAAAGCCAAACGTTTTCTGAAACTGTCAGAGGCAGCATGGAGTTCTAATACTTTAGACCAACAAAGGAAAACAAGTAATGGCTACAACCAGCTTGGAAGACCAAGTTATAAATTTTGGAAAGAAAAAACTCTGGATTTATTGAGTAAAACATATTAGTTTTCTTTAATCCTTGGGGGAGGGAAGTTCTTTTGTGATGAAAAGTGCTGGTCAACTTCACACAATATATACAACAGAGAAACTGCATGGGCGCTTGAAAACTTTAGCGTGAGAGCTCGTAACGAAGCATGGACCAGAGCAACCGCTGTCCAGCCTAAGCGGAGAAAGCAAGGCCCCAGTCACACTTCAAGCTGAGGACTAATACAACTTAAAAAAAAAAACCAAACCAAAACAACAACAAAACAAACAAAAACAATGACAAAACCCCCATCCAACTAGGAGATTCAACAGCAGCACTAGAAGATAAACATGGAAATAATTGCTCAGTGCCCAAGAGGTTAATATTGTCCAGCACAAAATACACTCAGGATCTGAAGCGTACCCACGGTCTATGGCAAAGTAGGCTTAGGATACTGCAGTTAGATTTTGATATCCTTCTTTGATATAGCATGTTTTTCAACAACTAAATGAAATAGAAAATGCAAATAGGAGCTTCTATGGGCCTAATGACTTTGTTTAAATTACAGGTTATTTTGGAATGTGAAAACTACTTGTTGCTGGCATCCATGACAACCATGTAGATACTGTTCACTTACTTTAACATTCTACACCAGCATGGTAAGCCATATTTCAAAGATCGGGTTTCAGGGCACTTGTGTCATGAAGTAAACTGGAATGATTGGGTGTGTAAGGCTTCGTGTTTCTGTCTCAAAAAGAGTAATATAGAAAGTATTAAACAACTTAAGCAAGCAGGATGTGGCAACAACCCTTGATTTATGAACACTGTTTTACACACCAGACAAGTATTAAGTTTCCCAGAATATCTCAAAAGGGATGTTGCTAAGCAAAGATGATGGCAAAAAGAGTATTTAATTAAGATGTCTGAATGTGATTTGCAGGACTAACAGCCACATTCCAAACTATCACCAAGCAGAAAAGGAAAAAGCTCCAAATACAATGAAAAGGGGATATTTTTAACTCAAGTTAAAGTACAAATATAGAATGGTTTATGCCTGATCCTGCCTGCCATGGAGAAAATGAACTACTGGTTCAATTGAAAGCCAGCTTCTACATATATTCTTCTGTTAAATATCCAGCATTTGAGACTGAGGTTTTGGCACTTATTTTAACATTACAGGCAAACTGTTTCACTAATGCATTGCTTTTCCTTTTCCTTAAAGAAAACACACACTCCACTTTCGGGTCAAAAGCCAGTCACATGCATCAGACAGACAGAAGTTCACAGTGAAACCAGTTATCACTTGACATGATGTAATGGGTAAGCTTACAACTTACCAACAGCTATGACTCCCACCAGCTCTCCTTTTTGGCATTTTCAGTTTAAATTTACAGAGAATTACAGAAAGATATTTCCAAGAAGACTAAAAGTAAACAAGCCAAACCCAACTATAAAAAAAACCCTATAGCTAACCTACTACCTCAAAATCTTTTAAACAGACAAAAGCAATTCACAGCAGATAAGAACATACTGTAAAGTTTAGTTAAACTGGCTCCCTCTTTTGCATTTGTTAAATAAAATTGCATCCTTCCAACAAGGGGCAAGAGGTCATGGACTTTGTTAGTAATTTTATTTTCATTGTACACATAAATGTTTAGGCCATGTCTTACACAAAACAAATATGGACATCAAGACAGAATCACACTGTGAGATTAGTTAGAGACTGGACCAAAAATTACATGGAAGATTCTACTTGGTAATTAATAATGACAGCTATATCAAACACAAACAGAACTGAGGTCAACAGAGACATGACACCAGTAAAGAGGTTGCATAAAAATAGGAACATACAGTGACTCATTCTTGAAGCTTTATTATTGACTCCATCTAAAGTACTGACAGCACCTTTAACAGATGCACAGAAATATTCTCAACCCTTTTTAACACTATGATAAGATCGAATAGGGCTATAAATCTCCAAAGTGCTGCACAAACACTAAGCTCCAAGAAGGATATGAAAAGGTAGCATACAAGACAAGTACTTACTCCAGGGCAACAGAGAAATGCAATGAATCAAGGGTTCCCAGGTTCTCTTTAGCACCTAATTTTGCATTTAGGTTTCAGCCATATTTCAGGCATTTAATATAAAATCTTCAAATATCACCCATGGGTCAGACACTATACATTATTGTCTTCTTGACTTTGTAGGCCATCAGCAATCATGAAGCTACTTATACAGCCAAGGGTACTTTCAAATCTGAAAGCTACCAGTGAAATTTATGAGAACTTTTCAGAGGTTATCCATAAATGCTGAAAAGTATAATTGCAAGGACTATGTATGCAAAGACAGTATAGCATAAACAGCAGCAGCAGCAACAGCCCTGAAATTGCCTTGTTCTGTTCCACCCCAGCCACATTACCTACAGATGCGGAATTCAGGAATGAACTGCCTTGGTTTAGATCCTAGGACAGTTCTGCTGAAAGGGATCTCAAGGCCAGTAAAAACCCTCTCTCTCAGAAGGAAAGTCTTGCAGATTTCAAGAATGGTGCTTGTAATGTAAGCTGCACTGAGATTTTTCAAGTTCTTGTCACTCAAGCAGAGAGATGCTGAGAAAGAAAGCACATGGCCCAAATTCTAAAATTCACAACAAAATACACTGCCCATTTCACAGAAGTGAACTCAACTTGGTAATATAATAGGTTTGTGTGCACATACAGATCCACATGAGCAAACACCCACATTCCACTCACTACAAGAAATACAGAAGATACTAGTATTTTTAATATCTGCATTGTTTCATTCTAATTCTGTCATTATCTCATTAACTCATCTGTCTCTCTGTAAATTCTTAATAGAAAACATTTTTCTGAATTTTCCATTTAGCCTGGAGTGCACATATCTGAAAGAACAGCTTTCCCAATAATGATATTAAGAAATGCCTCTGGCATTGCAATAAGTTCCAAAGTTTGTGAAAATCTGAAGGATATGCTGTGACAAGCATACAGTGAAGTTCTAGCTGATACTGTAACTATCCGGGTTCCCAGCAAAGAAGAAAAGAAATCCCATAATACTGCATATTTGAAAGTTTTTCTGATTTTATTGTTGTTTAAAGTATAAATATTTCACATGAATCCTAATCCACTGTAGCAGGCAAACTCATGCTCACTTTAAGCAGGTTAGCATTCCAGTTCAGCTCAAGAGGATGAGCATGCTACTCCAGTGATTTGTTTGATCATTGTCTAAATTAAAAATTCACAACGGCACAAAGAGAAGTTGTTATATTTCCACATTGTTTGCAGTAGTCGGCCTATCCCTCAAGGGTATCCTTCTTACATGTGTGGGCATATGAAGAAACCACTTGCCAAGTGTTTTACTATTGCAGGATGAAGACATTTAAACCAAACCTTTCAAGCAGTCGATGGAACACAATCTGAAAGGTAGGGTTATTTATTTTTATTCTCCTTATGTATGTTTAAAACTTACTGGCCATTCACTATTGTAACTTCAGCACTCCACAACAAAAAACATCACTGGATTATTTTTCTCTCTGCAGTACTCCACCATATTTTCTATTGATGATACTCTGCTGCTACAAGCACTGCTGACAGAACAGCTTCTGAACTAGGACTCTTTCCAACCCCTAATATTTCTAATGTAACAAATAAAAGCTTCCACTCTGAAGTTTTGAAAAGATACTGGAAAGAACCACTACAGGAATACAAAGTTGACTCATTCTAAATCAGTTAACACAGGTGGAAAAGGCAGAAGAAAACGTGGGAATGTAGGCAAATGAGGGAGAGTACGCTGACTTCTGACAGTTCCCTTACAAAGATCTGCAGGTTATTCCATTAAAGGGTCAAACACAATATCCTGACACTTTTAAGAAAATTCCTTTTGTTACTTACTTGGGTTTTTTTTTACAGAAGAGAATCATTGACTCATACTAACTGTTTACAGCTTTATCCAATTTTCTTTATGTTAAGAGAGGCTGATGTTCTGAACAGTACACCACCAACACCACAATGCCTGTCACAAGCAGTATTTCAGATCATATGAATAAATGAGAAGCATTTGAAATATTCAGGGCAAGATGATTTTTGGGGACACAAAGCTACAACTGAATGCCACAACTAAGGTCACATATCCTGCCTGGCCTCAGTCCTGCCTAGAGGCACATACACAAAAACCTCCAATACCTGCTTGAAGCAATCTCCATAGACATCCAGGCCTGCTTTCAGAATATTGCTCCCTGAAGTAAAAATGTATGTCATACCTGAAGGATAAAGGCCTGGAAAACTCCAGCAATGTCTCTTCATGCGCACTGCCAAAAACTCAACAGGGCCAAAAAACATACAAAAACCCACAAATCAAAACTGCTCACGAGGTAACTCTCAGATGACCTAAAGATTTCAATTCTTTCAATTGCATTTTTTTTTAAGGTTCTGCTATCTGTAGCTCTCAAATTGCTGCAGAAGGCTAATAAATTGTTTCTGGGTCATCACTGCTGCACAGAACTCATAGGCAAACACAAGAGGCAACAGCTTCCAGCAGGTGAAGGATCAATGAAGAGCTTGATATCATAGCATCATACAGCATGCTGCTATGCTACAAGCTAGTGGCAGCTACACACATAATCACATAACATAGCCGGGAAGCAGTCTGGCTTGCCAAGATTTTCTCACAGACTAAACCTGTGGCAGCATACTGTAGTTTTCATGCTCATTGTCTGCTATTTTCAACTTTTCTGACATCCCAAGTAGAATTTCTCATTCACATCAGCATCCATAGAACTGATACAATAAAAAGTATATTATTTCAGAAGGCTAAAAGAAAAAAAGGACACCTTTTATATATATATATATTCACATATATATATCTTCCATTGAGAAACAACCCACATCTGGAAAATATTTCTGTGTTTAAGCAGACTTAGTCTTCAGCTGCAAATGGCAATCTAAGGAAAAGTTATTTCTGAGCCAAAAGACAGAATACAAACAGCTCCACAACCAGTTGTGCTCGCATGCAAGATTCAAGTTGAAGGATTTGTTTGCTTTCCTGTCAGTACAGCCGCAAAAGTCAAACTGCAGTTTCTGGCTTGTTCAGCCCCAGAGTAACAGACATTCTTAAAGGCAGATTCTGTCCTTAATTTGGATTCTCTCAGTCCCCTCTGGTGAGGGTGCAGGAAACTAAAGCCACAGCAAGGCCAAAAGAGAATCTGCTTCGTATTCACACTGCCCTGTGGATCCTGCATTGCTACAGGATCTTAGGGACCACCATAACAGTTCAAAAAAGTGACCTGAGCGACAAGCAGTAACCAGATTTTCAGCTCAGTACTTAACTTTGGTACTACTTCATGTTTAAGTCACACATAAGTATTGAGGTACCCCAGTTATGCCCCAGTAGGCACTCTAATTCATCAGTTTTGCTCAGCAGCATCTCACATGCAGCCAAAAAGGGATATAGTCAATAGTAAACCTGTCAAAGGCTGAATGCAGCTGCAGACCCTGACATATTGTTTTCTTCAAACATACCTGTCTGACCTCAGCATTTGCCCTTCTTCAAATTCAGCTAAAATTCCAATCTGATCTTTCATCATCAGCAGCAATGCATTTCAACTATTGTTATCTTTAGCATATCTTTGCCCTCTGCAACTGCTGAATTTTCTCAGTCCTCAAAATTTACCAAAGCTGTTAATATATCAACGGATCAAACATCATGCTTATGTTCTCTTTCTCCACACTTTGAGACCTAAGTTTATTGAGCCCTGTAAAGTTATTAAGTCCTTCTTTGTTACCTCATCATTAATCCAAAGGTTAAAATCTCACTTCAGCTAGCCCTGTAGACAGAAGTAGAAGCATCTGTAAGAAAGCTATCACAAGACCTTTAATTTTTTTGATTTCCTTTATATTTTAAAGATGTCTGAGACACCTACTGGAGGAAACTAAAAAATCACCAGATCTGGATTTGTACATAGTTTCTATGCCAGGAGAAATGGTTCAATCATTAGGAAAAAAAGAAAGTGTAAAGAACAATAGCATACATATAGGACCCTCAGTGTTTCCAATGAAACAGACAACTAGTCAGAAATCAGTCAGTGGAGGGACTCAATTTATTTTAAGTAATCTGAAATGCCTCCACTGGTTTCAGTGTATGATTGTCTCTCAAGTAGGCACACAGAATACGAATGCATCCCATATTAAAGGCTCGTGGTCTTCAGGATGCTCAGACCAGTCTACTAAGCAGTGTTGTAATTGCAGAATATCAGTGAAGCAGGATAGAGAACTCTGAATGTAGGTTTGATTCTCCAGCTAATATAACAAGGGGAAATACCTAGGACAGGCGTTAGTTAACAACTCAAAGTACAGATACTTTTAGCAAGAATCAGGAAGCAGGCTCTTGTGAAAGTACAGAACAGGAACTACATGAGAAGACAAAGAACAGAGCAGTATTTTGGAGTATTCAAATATTTCAGAAATTATTAGGAGCAAATAACAACTTTCAACAGCTATGCTAAACTGATGTGCACATGGAAGAGAACTCCAAAATTATAGCTTTTATTTTCACTGCAACATCTTTGTAAGATATCTCATATTCTAAAACATTAAAATACAGAACTTGAACATATGGCATGCATCAGTCATCATGCACTTCTCTTTCAGCAACCTCATGCAAGCAAGTCAAACAAGTTCTCTGTATGGCATCTTCCTACTGTTACTTTGAGAAGTGCCTGACACATAAGAATAATGACCCTTTGACATCCATAACCAGGACATCAATAGTTGTGTTTCCAAAGCTGAGAAGCAATTAATGAGACAATTTTACTAACAGGAAGAGAAAACTTCTTGGACTACCATGGATGGATTTCCCACACATAGAAGAGGTACTATAAACACCTAAGGATAGGTACATGAATATAGAAGTACAGCCTTAAAACCTAACTTGACCTGCCTTTTTTTTAATCACAAAGATTATGGCATAAAAATGACAAGCTGTTTACTCTAGCTAAATCTAAGTTGTCTTGCAAGGCTGGACAAATGAGTCATGTTTTTCTCTTTAGAAGATTCACTGCATCACGGAACATGAAGTCTCCGCTGTCCTCAGGAGGAATGTCACAAATCAGCAGCCAGTGCTCAGTTTTTACCAGTACCACTGCTATGCCAGTGGGAACCAGATTCTCTGCAGCATGATTCCTAGCTAGCAGAAGAAGTTATCCATATGACCTGTCCTCAGAGGCCTATTCAAGATTCCATTTCACTAAGCCTAGGCCAATCTATTGTATATTACACAGGTATCATCCAGTCAGGATGGAAAATAGGCTTTTTAAAGGACTCTTTTTTATTCCAACTCCATTATTAATTGTGTTCATTCTAATACTTTTAGTGTCTTAGTAACACTTTGGTGAATTTCAAGAACAAAGCCCCAAACTGAAATTTACAGCATACTCTGGAAGTCAATAGACTCCACGTTTCCACCCAGATGTCCAGCTAACTAAAGCTAGATGTCAAAAACCTGGGTGCCCATTTTGATGGACATACCAGAGCTTCTATCTTCTTGACAGGTCTCAGCAAAACATCTCCTGCGAGCTTATCCAGGAATTGTAAAACAAGCAGATTATACGTATTAGGAGTCAGGAAAAGCTGTTCACCCAAAGACATCATAGAACAGGGAATCCAAGTTAAGAGCAGGAATTTATAAGTTAATATCCACATGTGTCTATGCCAGGAGGGACAAGTCTGGATACCCGGACAAGTCTGGATACCCAGCCAAGTCTGCTGAGAGTTTATGAACCCCCTGCCCTAACGTGTGACTACAGCAGATTTCCTGTGGCCTAAAACCAAGTGGTATTGCTGAGGCTTCAAAGGCTGGCATCTCACACAGACTAACAGCAAGTGTTCAACCTAAAACAAAGCAGCCATAACAACTCTCAGTTAAAACCACAAAGGAGACAGTGATTATTTTATATAATATTCAATGGGGTAGAGAATTCTCTCTTACATCAGTTTGACCCTCAGCCTCAAAGCCGTGTCTCACAGCTACCAAAGTCATGTCCTTGATGGTACACCGTGAAGAAGGCTGCTAAAGCCTGCCACTGGGAAGGGTGCTGTTCCAGGCAAAGCTTAAGCAAAAGGTCCTGAAACTAGCTGTCTCTAGTTTTAACAAGACATTGGATGAAATCAAGGTTTTTCACACCAAGGGTTGGAACCCTTTCAGACCAAGGGTTGGAACTCAAGAATCCATTCTGCAAGATGCAAAGTTGCACAAGATTGCAAAGGGGCACTTTAACCTCCCAAGAGAGGTAAGATTTCAGATATAGTCCTCTTTGTGACATGAAAATTGGCTATAACTATTTTGAGGCTCCAGCTGTGTTCCCAAACATAGATCCTCACTTGGGCCCAGCCTAACGCAATTACTGAATCAAATATAGTTTCTCTGCTGA